AGTATGGTATGAATTCTTCAAGTTTGCTTAATAAATTTGGTCACATTTTATGGCGGAGAAAGGTTACGCAGCCCCTCAAAAAAGTACTGTAAACTGTATAAAAAAATAAAAATCTGAATTGTGTAACTGTATCCTTATATGGGACGGTCCCTCCTGTAATTAGTAGTAAGATAAGTATGGAATATATTATTATCGATGACATCAAAGGCACTGCTTTTGTGCCACTTACAAAAATTAATTGAGACGTTAGATTAAGAGCAGATGGTTAGCCAGAAGGTGCTATGTATGATGAATTATTCATAGGTGAGGGTGGAAGATCTACTTCATTATACGAAGCGCCTCTTAGCTCTTTCTTTGATGCTAACTGATTCCTAAAAGATCTATTTTCATCTATTAACTAAGGTCCTCATTTGCTTGCTCTAATTCAAGCCTGAGGGAATCGATCTCTTTAGGATCAGGTGAATTTATTTGGACTGGCTCTTCTACCACTCCTTCTACTGCATCTGAATCATGAAATACCTGTTCTAGTTTTAAATCATACAACTTACCTTCCAATTCATATACTTTAGCTTCAAGAGAAAGAATCTTGATTTTATTAGCAGACGAAGCTTTCTAAGCTAAAGTTACCTCTCTCTTTAATGTTTTAATATTTGATTTAAGTGATTTGATTTTGGCAGTATATTTGACTTCAAGCTCACATTGACTCTCAAAATAAGACTTTCATTCAGAAATAAGTTAAGATCTAACTTTAGTAATGGACGCATTTAACTGGCTAATCTTATTTCTAATATCACTATAGCTTCGCTGATACTCCTTTTCCCGCTCATTATATTTATCTACTAGTTTTTCAATGAGATCATTAATCTCAGAATTAAATTCAGTAATGGATCTTAATTTTTTTTAAGCTCTTGCTTATATGCACTACCTAGCTGATGATCAGGTTTTTTATAAGAACCATCTTCTTTATCTTTTATATTATTCAATGTATGCACATTAGACATAATATTAGCATAGTTATATATTAGAAAAAATGCACAAATAAATTTCCAAGATAATAGATATAATCTGTTTATTTAGAATAATACATTCTTTCTGAATATTCTGTTTATTCTGTATATCCTATACATCCAGAATATTATCTTCCTATATATCCTGTATATCCTATATATTTAAAATGATACATTCTTTCTATATATCTTATTTAATAAATTATTTCAGAGTATTATATTAGATATATAAAAAAAATATTGCTATTATGCTTAGGCAACACATAAGATGTGATGCCTCTTCTTTTTACCAGCCGATTATAACCATATTATGCAATGTGCTGAAAAAAAGTCTAGAGATAAAGTTTTAAAGGATTTAACAGATAAATATTGCATATCACAAAAACATATTTATGAGACCTGAAGAGGTGAAGAAAAAAATAGAGTTACGTGAAATTAACCAATTCATATATCAACAGCTAGTCCTGAAGGAACTGCTTCACTTTCTAATATAAATGTTGTGAACAGGCAGACTGAACCAGAGATTCAAGGCAAGATATTTTCCCATTTACAGAACTGAAAAAACAAATACGTGATACTAATATAGAGCTTAGTGAATCTATTAATTCAGTTTTAGAAGAAGATGAAAAGGTAAAAAAGACTGAAGGGAAGAAATCGAAGTCTAAAGGTGAATTATCAATGCTAATTCTATCTCCTATCTAGTTTCAACTAATTCTCACATCGCATGAGAAGATAGTTAAAAAAAATGTAAAAATATAACAAATATGAAGAGTATATTAGAAAAATAACTCATCTATTCTCTGCCTTAAGTGCCTTTGGCAAGAAGTTCATCATAGCATGTCTGTAATCTTTTATAATACTCATTAATTTCTGCATTATACTTAAGAGTGCTATATAGCATTTTTTCAAGTTCCTCATAACTAACTTTTTTTAATGTATCATCTTTACTTTAATCTTGTAAAATACAGTTTAGGATCGAGAAAGTATCACATTTGAAAGTAATTCTCACACAATTTACCTCGAGCTTATTCTTGACCTTATGCATATTAATTGGGATAAAAAATTCCTTACTATTATACTTTAGTCTTAATTCCTACTTTGATACAAGTAAATCATAACTATATTTATCGAGAAGTGTATTGAGTAAGATCAGCATTGGCTTAGGATACTTAACTATAGCAAAATCAGCATATAAGTACATCTGGAAGCAAAATTTACTAGGATATTTCTAACAATTCCAAGCGACTCTGTAGGAGTAGTAGCAATGCCTCTGAGATCATATTTTTCTTTTGTATCAATTACTAGCTTTGATCGTTTAGATATATCCTCAGACATGATCAGAAAATTAGCATCAGGATCAATTGTGCCCACCGGAATTACTAAATGCTTAATTTTATATTTAATAGTAATAACATCTGTGACAGGTTCTTTTCTTTGGACAAAATCTATCTCTATAGGATTATTAATAAACTTATCATTTTCAGAATCAGCTGGTATTTTAGAATCACCATTTTGCGAGTAAAGGAGGATTGTAATAATGCTAAACTTTTCATTAAGTACCTTCTTAATAATTTTCTCAATAATTTTTTCTAAGTGGGATTGGTTGTCTTGTAATGAAGACTTTGAGCTTTGCTTTTCCTTCTTAGAGATAAGAATCGATGTTAAAGAAGGAGTTTTTATATCTTTTACCTTATGAGACTTGCAAGTCTTTGATTTCTTCTTCTACGAGAAAGTAATAGTGTTATGTGATCCCTTTGAGACCTGCTTTTTCTTCACTTTTTTTTTGCTTGAGATATATTAACATTAATTTCAACATCGATCTCAGTCTTAGACTCTGATTCAGAAAAAGAACTCTTAAAGCTAAAAGAGCTATCCTCAGACTCACATGAAGAAGTATCATTATCAAGAGAATCTGAATCTGATTGTTCGTCTACTCTAGCTATATAGACTCAATCACTTTTAGATTTTTTCTTCTTAGACTTATTTTAATTTCTTTTTCTTTATTTTAGAAGTTTTACAGGTAGGTTTATGGTCACTTTTATGTAACTTTTTGATCGCATTAATTTGTTTAAAAAGCTTGGCATAATTAATATTAACAATGCCTAATCTCCTTATTAATTTATCATTAATATAATTATCCAAGAATTTAAGATCTCTTAGTGCATCAAGTGACATTCCTAAACGCATTGCATGTATATACATTTTTTCTAAGGCCTCATTATATAAAGGATTCTAAATACTCTGAGAATACATCTGATTTGATAGGACTATTTATTCTTGTAGCAATGCTTGGATTCGAGTATTAATAATTTTTTCAACATCTGCGGTAGTAATACCCTGATTTATCAAAACCTTTTGAGCTATTGATTGGTTATAGATATTCTCACCCAAAAGCATTTCACTCTTTTCTTTTTCAATTTCTTCCAAATTTTCGATCAAGTCATTATTTAATGCTTTATTTAGTCTCAAGTGTTTAACTTCTAACTTATTTTTAAAATTTAATCCACGAAGAAATTGCATTTTTTTTTCGCGATCACCAATTTGTGCTAATTTTGCATACTTGCATAATTTTCTATAGTATTCTTTAATCAAAAAATTATTTTATATCCGATTGCCAAGAATTAATTTTTGTTGCTTTCAAACTTCTGTGGTATAAGTAGTTCTCCATAAATACAATTCTTAGCTAATATTAAAATCAGGAAGAATAATTTGATTATTATTATTCGTAGCTCTATTTGAAATATTATTTGCTGTAGCAGAATCTACAATACATCCCCAGCATAAGACCAATTTTCATCTGTATATACATCATACGCTGGGATAAAAAGAACTCTAGTAGCTCCAGCTGATAATACTGGTACAACTGTTCCATCAGGAGTATTTATTTGAAGAGCTGTTATTTGACCGTTATTTAGGACATGAATGGCAGCTATATTAGTTAAAATATTGCCAACGGTGACATGATTTAGCCAAAACTTTTTTCAGCAATTTTAGTTTTATGCCATTGAAAAGCATCGTCCGTTAAGGTTGATTGCCATAATGTTAAAACCCTCTGTTTATCTTACATATTATTCGTGAAAATTCTGACAGCTGTTAAATAGAAACAATAATTTTAATATACTCATCTAAGTCCTTATTACCTCTACCTAAATCCCTTAGTGGTGGATATCCTATCATACCTATATGTTGTATATTAGATGGGTTATTCTGAAGCGCCAAAATTTGTCCTGCAAATTTAAAATATTCTAGTCTCTTTGCCTAATCACTAGCTAGAAAACAAACTTCTTACGTAGTAATTCACTAATGCAGATTTGTTTTCTTGTTATAATAACTAATATTCTATTTACTTAGTTTTGGGTATTGATCTGCAATTGTTAGGTATTTTGCTGAAGATGGTTAGTATCTCGCTGATATAATAGCTGTTTAGCAAATTTTTCTCGCAATAATCCTTAAACATGCCTATCTTTATCCCAATATGAAAACATTCAGCAACGGGATTCTTGTCTCTCATTATTATAGGCTAACATAGCCAAGTCTTGCTCTCCTTAAGTATTGTCTCTTTCTCTTACAGTTCTTTCAACCTGAACTCGGGATTCATCTAATAAACATTGTAACTATAAATTCTGATTTCCACTATCAGTAAATTGATTTCTAAGATTATCTACTTACTGAATTGAATCATGTAATAAGTTTTGATATTGATCATGTTCAGCTGTAATATTTTAGTAACCCAAATAGTATTTAACGAGCCTCTGATGCCATCTATAATATTGGCAGGATTCTGTATAGATGTACTAACTTTCTTAATGTAATTTTCAATTTGATCTAATCCTTTATTAATATTGACAATAAGATTAGTTGTTGCTATATCTAAAGCATTTATTGAGATTTTTTTATCTATAAGAATCTGGATTCTTGCTTTAAGATTTTTAACCTTATTTTCAAGCTCTTTGATTCAACTATCTTGAATAGACCCAACCTTATCTTTGAATTTTTTATCCTGTTGTAAAATCCTAAGCTGTTTTCGCAAATCAGATATTTCTGATTTAAGTTTTTCTACCTCTATTTCATGGGCTATGATAGTATTATCCTGTAATGAAATAGTTTAATAACATTGCTCAAGCTCCTTTATAAGGGATTGAATTTTTTCTCATTACTCTTATTAATAGAAATTTCATCTCGAAGCTTATTACGAAGCTTCTGATTTATATCTAAAAGCTGTAAATATACTGAATAAAATATGGTATTTCATTCTAATTTATAGTATTATCATAATAATCCTACCTTGAGAATGAACCAGCCCAAATTGTGATAGATTCTAATGAAGAGCTTCACATAGTATGTAGACTTCTATATTATAATATTTCTGGATTTTGTCTGAATGCCAAGGAATATGTCAAGATGAAGAGTTTTGAAGTTTTTAATTGTGAGATATTGCAAAGTGGTTAGGGTATCAATATAGCTATCAAATTTATTAACACTCATTATCTTGTAAAGCTGAGGCAAGTTTTTCAAAATTAAGATTCTGAATAAAGTCTATTAATGCGATATATTGCTCCATATTCATGATCAAGATGATAGGAGGATATTCATTTGTAGTTTTCTAGTTATAGATATGGTAACACATTTTAAGGATAGATGTTAATTAACATTGAGAAATAGCTTAGAAATCAGGAATGCGGTCAAAGAAATATATGAGGATCCTTCTAATCCTCTTATATAGCCAGAATTATTGATAACTGATGGTGATGTTTCATTCTGAAATGCATTTTCACAAGGGATGCAATAATATGGGACCTTTACAATAGAAAGGGAGGAAACCTCCAAAAAAATTAAAATTTTAGTTTATAAGCCAAAAATGTTTCAAATACTATAATTTGTTCAGATTTATTATTAAC